TAACAGTTACTAACTCCACTAGTTTCTCCAGTTTCAGTCTTTAAGAGCATGCTTTTAATGTGTGGAGACAAAGTGCATCGGCTCGAAAACGCTTGTTTTGGGAAATGTAAAAATGTTTTGTGAGAGGTTTAGGGGAATGAAAATACAATTAGTACAGTATAAAAATTATGATGTCTATGGAAAGTCCCTGTGTAAATATGGAAACACAAAAAACTATCATTTTTGATAGATGCTTGTAATAATGTGTGCACAGTGTTTGTATGAAATAGTAGATTTTAAACTCTGTTTCTTCACATTATGCATAAAAACACTTATACAACACTGAGATAAAAGACTAAAAATATAACCATCCACGCATTTCAAAATTGTAACATGTATAATATGTTATATATATAATTGTTTGGTAGCTTTGATGCATCTTCTCATGAAGTAAACTGCTCTGGTCATGTGACATAATGGTCATATTTTTTCCATATTTGCTGAAAATGCTCTAAAACACCAGTCAGTAACATTTTTAGAGCTTTATAAATGTAAACCTTCTTTATGGTCACTATTGTGTCCGGTGCGATTAAAACCTTTGTAACACAAGATGTGCATGTTTATGAATTCGTCTTATATATTTAGTAAATATAATTATCATATTTGTGTTTGTTAGAGAATTAAAAGTTGCTTTGGTGCCGATTTGACCCCAGGCACCACAGGAGGGTTAAAAAGTGAAAATAAACGATTGATGATTCTCTCCATGTTTTCTCATTTTGTGATGCATTTGTAAAGCCTCCATGGGTTTGTTAAAGTTACAATTATTTTTAATAACACGGTTGTATTTTGTTTATTTATAGATGACGGCTACGATCATCATTCTGTATGTCGCCAAAATGAACAAAGCCATCCGTTTTCAGGACTTTGACAAAAAGTATTCCCGGAAAGGTAATTTATAATTGGTTTAATATTTTTAATAATTCATTTCTGTACTGTAACGGTAGATTTTTCCGGTACCGTATGAGGGGAATCACGTGACGGAACTCGGAGGAACACAGAAAACGAGGTAAATAAACCAAAACACGAGAGTTTTGCGTAAAGACGCGCTCATGTGAAGCTGTTTTCAGTTTACCCATGTTCACTGTGCTCAGAGAATTCATGATGATTGAATACAGGATACTGAGGTATGTCACTTCTTTTAGTGAAAATATTTTTTATTTTAAGTAAGCTAAAACGTCACGTTTTTTTGTTCAAAGATGGATCCAAAACCATCCATTTTTCATCATCACCAAAATATATTTTATACATACTCTGCCGTTCAGAAGTTTGGGATCAGTAAGATTTGTAATGTTTTTTAGAGTCTCTTCTGTTCAACAAGGCTGCATTAATTTGATTAAAAATACAGTAAAATTGTTAAATATTTTTATAATTTAGAATAGCTGTTTTCTGTGTGAATATCTGTTAAACTGTAATATATTT